ATGTTTGTTTATTTTTGAGAGAGACACAGAGTGTGAGCGGGGAGGGGCAGAGAAAGAAGGAGACACAGACACTGAAACAGGCTCCACGCTCTGAGCTGTCAGCACAGAACTGTGCTGTGAGATCATGACCTGAGCTGGTCAGACGCTTAACTGACTGAGCCACCCAGGCGCTCCAACATCACATCTTTAACGGCAGGAGTGCCAGGCACTGTCCATGTGTTATCTAACTGACCTCACAGTCACTCAGCAAGGAAGATTGTCCCTACTTCCACATGACAAAACTGGCTCAGGAAGGCTGGGGAGTACTATGAGGTCACATAACTGTCCACACTGCAGCCAGAGTGTTCTTTCAGAAGCGATCACCTCACTCCCTGGTTAAAACCTTTCAGTGACTCCCAACCCTGGACTTCTCAGCAGGCTTACAAGACCCTGTCTCTCTCTGCAACGTCATTGTTCACTTCCCCGTCCAGCCCTACTTCCTCTGTATGCTGCATTCCAGTCCAACTGCGGCTTCTTTCCTTGTGTCACATGCTCCCACTGTCTGGCCTCTGGGCCTTTCCATGTGCTTTCCATACACTGAACTCTCTTGCTCCTACGTCCTAACTCCTGCTCACCCTTCACATCCCCTCTGGGAAGCCATTTCCTCCAGGAAACTTTCTCTGTCCCCCCTACTGGAGTTAGTGCCCCTCATCCAGGCTCCCATGGCCCCCCAGACATCCTCTGACATAACATTTAGCTGCGTGTTAGCTTCTCCCCGCCTCCCACCCCCGCTAGACTATGCTCCCCGTGAGGGCAGAGCCCACATCCTGAAGTCCCTGGTGGGCTCCCTCCCACAGCCCAGGGCCAGCGCTCGGGGGTGCTCAGGAAGGAAAGGGTGGATGGGTGGATGGGTGAATGGGGAAGCAGGGCCTCGTGGGGTTTGCCTGACTCCAAGCTTGTGCTCTTTCCCCAGCATATCTTGTCTCTTCGCCTTGCTTGGCAGTGATTGGAGAACAAGGCAGACAATGGAATTGGGAAAATGCACTGAGATCTTTGAGGCAGAAACTGTTTATCCAGCAAACATTTGTTATGCCTCTAACATGCAGAAAAGTGTGCTAGACTCTAAGGTTTTAGTGGAGCCTTAGCTCCAACAGGGCAGGTGGGAACGGAAGCCCACCAAGGTCCAGAGGCCCAGCCTCCTTCCCACAGCTTGCAAGTCGCCATGATCAGGCCTGTGCCCACCTCTCCAGCCACAGGCTGCCCTTTGCCCCTTGCTCTGTGAGCCCTGGCTGTTTTGTCCTTTGTTCTGTGTCTTGAACACCCCCATTCCTCCATCTTGGGGCCTCCACACCGCTCTTCTCTCTGTCTGGAATGCTCTTCCAGCAGCTCTCCTGCCCCACCCCCAGCTCCCACATCGCGGGCCCCAGAGGTCCACCCCCCCTTCCCCCCGGGCCACCCAGGCTGCCATGGACCGCCTGTAGCTGCTCCTGTCACTTTCCCCGTTCTTCCCCTCAACAGCAGTCACTCAGAGATGATCGCATCCACCCCTTGGGTTGCCCTTTTATTGGCTCTCTCCCTAACTGGAAACAAACTCCGTGAGGGTAGGGACCTTGGCGTCTTGCTCACCACATGACCCAGGGCCTGGCACTTAGTGGGCAACTCAGTAGATATCAGTTGAGTAAATGAGTGTATGAATCCTCGAGCAGCTCACCGGAGCAGCTGATCCTCGGCCTTCAGGCCAGCCCAGCCCTTCTGTTCCTACTTGGGTTTCATCTGTGCTTGGCCCCCTCCTGTGAGTAGGGGCCGCATACCCTGTGGCTCCGGGACCTGTCATACTGCCCTCTCCCGGCTTCTCCCGGCTGTTCTCTGGCTTCTCTCCTCAGGCCTAAGCAGCCCCAACTTCCCGAACAGCGCCTTTTAGTCCCCTCCCTGCCCTGGCTCTCCACTGCCCCCTCCTGGCGTGATACGGCATGACCATTCTGACTCCACATCCTTGAATTCGCCTTTCACCCAGACGTTTGACCTGCCCCACTCCAGGGATGTATGTGAAACAGCAACCCTCGACCCTGCGTCAGCTCTGCTGGCCAAGGAGCTCAGGGGAACTGACACCATACCTCCCCTGTCCTCCCACAGGTATGTCTCCTGTGTGCTTGGATGCCCCTATGAAGGGAAGATCTCCCCGGCTAAAGTAGCTGAGGTGTGTGTGTGTATCGGGGCGGGGGTTTTCTGAGGGTCGTCTCCCTTGCCTGCCCCTGGGGTTCTCCTCACCACCCTTTCCTGGTGGGTCACTGATGTCCTTCATTCCCCCAGCTCCTTCCTTCATTCCCCCTGGGAGCACAGCCCAGCACTTGCTCCTGGAGGCCCGCCTCCCAGTGCAGCTTGGATTCTCTCAAGCCCCCACCTTCTGCCCCAGTCTGGTCAGTGGACTGGTGATAATTGAGGTGATCTGTGGCGAGGCTCCTCCCCTGGGGTGCCTGCGGTTCCTTGCCGCGTCCCTGGCGTCCTCTGAGCAGTAACCAAGTCAGCACTGAGAAGAGCACGGTGTGGGAATTGAGTCTGAGCCACCCAAGAGCTTACGCCCCTTAGCCCTCAAAGTCACCCCGAAAATTTGGTCGTGTTAGTGTTACTCCATTTTTCAGGCGAGGAAACGAAGACTAAACGACTTGCCGCACAGGTTGTAGATGGCGCAGCTGGGTCTCAGCCCCACTTTGTTTACCTCAGCCCCACCTGCTGTGCCCCCACTTGCGTGGGGAGCGTCGGGCGCAGGTGCCTGCTGAGGGTGGCGGCTGCACGCCGCGTCTCGGCCGCTGGTCCCGCCAGTCCTCACCGCAGCCCACAAAGGCTCGTCGCCGTTTCTCAGAAGCAGAAAAGGAAGCTCCGAGAGGGTCAGCCTTTCGCCGGCGCCCCCAGCCAGGGAGTGGGCAAACTGGGACAGCCACCAGTGTCCGTCACGCCAGAGCCTGCTCCTTCGCTGCGGCCTCCGTCCCCACGGGTCGTCCTCGGCCTGCTGCCCGGGCGGCGGGGGCTCGCCCTTCCATCCCCCTGGCGCACCTCGGCCGAGCGTCCGCTGCGTCCCCTGCGTCCCCGGCCCTGTCATCCCCTCCGCCTTCTCTGCAGTGCAGGGTGGGGCAGCGTCTCCTCAAGCGGGACACACGCTGCCCTGGATTTTCGGTGGTTTTAGGGATTTGCAAATGGGCTTCTAAAAGTTTAAACAGTTGTGTACTTCTATTAACAGTATATAACTAGCACCTCAGACCCACGAGGTGACAGATCTTGCTGAGGATAAAGTTACGTGACAGGAACCCATGGTCCTGGGTCCAGTGTTTGGCTGTGGCACAGGGTGTGGAGGTCGGAAGTGAAGGACCGAAGTCTGAGGCACGGCGGGGAAGAAGGCACAGGGTCACAGCCCCGGGGTTGCTCCAGTGGCTGGCCCTGCTCCCTCACGTCTCAGCAACCTAATGAGGAGAAAGGTTATTGTCACTGCCATTCAGAAAGTCGTAAGGGGCCTATGATGCGACAGGAATTTAGTGTTTCGGACGTGGAGATGTTCCACATAGGCCAAGAATCCCTGCGTCTGAAGTCTTGGGCCCCGGACCTGGAGAATCCAGTGTCCTCCGAGTACTGCTTGCTTGCTTCCCCAGATCACCAAGAAGATGTACTCCATGGGCTGCTACGAGATCTCCCTGGGGGACACCATCGGCGTGGGCACCCCTGGGATCATGAAGGACATGCTGTCCGCTGTCATGTATGAGGTGCCCGTGGCTGCCCTGGCCGTCCACTGCCATGACACCTATGGCCAGGCCCTGGCCAACACCTTGATGGCCCTGCAGGTAATCAGGGCATGTCCTGGGAGAAAGACCTGTGTCCATTCTCCTAAAGGGCATAGTGGCAGGCCAGCTAGGTTCATGTATTCTTTCAATAAGCTCTCACTGATTACCTGTGTGCCGGGCCCTTGCCCGGCCACCGTGGACACAGACATGTGACCCTTGCCTAAAAGGGCCTTAGGGGAGGCAGCCAAGGGAGTTTTGTGGTAGCCTTCGTGCATTATGACAGATCACAGGAAGAGAGGAAGCACAAGGCTGAGGAAGGCCTCCATCCCAGCCAGGAAGGCCAGAGAGGATTTGCCAGAAGAGGCTTGAATGAGGCTCGGAGGCTGTGAAGAGGTGAGCAGTTGAAAAGGGAAGTGAAAAGCTGACTAGGCAGCCCTCCACTGTAAGGCTGAGGGGGTTCAGGGAGGACGTGTGCGCTGGCCCGGGGAGTGTGCACAGGGCTGTCGGGGAGCACACGAGGAGACTGGAAGTAAGGG